AATGTTAATACTGCCCAAGGAAATGAATACATTCAAATGCAATCCCAGTCAAAGTTTCACCAGCAGTCTTCTCAAAGCTAGAACAAGCAATCCTAAAGTTTGTATTGAACCACAAAAGACCCCAACTAGCTAAAGTAATATTGAAGAAGAATACCACAGCAGGAAGCATCAAAATGAGTCTTTAGCTTCTACTACACCGCTGTAATCATCAAGACAGCATGGTATTGACAAAAAAGCAGACACATAGATCGATGGAATAGAATAGAAACCCCAGAACTAGACCCACAAAAGTATGGCCAACTAGTCTTTGACAAAGCAGGAAAGAATATCCAATGGAAAAAAGACAGTCTCTTCACAAATGGTACTGGGAGAACTGGACAGCAACATGCAGAAGGATGAAACTAGACCCCTTTCTTACACCATTCACAAAAATAAACTCAAAATGGATAAAGGACCTGAATGTGAGACAGGAAACTATCAAAGCCCTAGAGAAGAAAGCAGGAAAAAAATCCTCTCTGACCTGAGCCGCAGCAATGTCTTACTCAGCACATCTCCAAACGCAAGGGAATTAAAAGCAAAAATGAACTATTGGGACCTCATCAAGATAGAAAGCTTCTGCACTGCAAAGGAAACCATCAACAAAACTAAAAGGCAACTGACAGAATGGGAAAAGATATTTGCAAATGACATATCGGACAAAGGGCTAGTTTCCAAAACCTATAAAGAACTCACCAAACTCCACACCCGAAAACAAGTAATCCAGTGAAGAGGTGGGCAGAAGAATGAACGGAAATTTTTTTTAAAGAAGACATCCAGATGGCCAACAGGCACATGAAAAGAAGCTCAACGTCACTCCTCATCAGAGAAATACAAATCAAACCACACTGAGATACCACCTCATGCCAGTCAGAGTGGCTAAAATGAACTATTCAGGAGACTATAAATGCTGGAGAGGATGTGGAGAAATGGGAACCCTCTTGCACTGTTGGTGGGTATGCAAACTGGTGCAGCCACTCTGGAAAACAGTGTGGAGGTTCCTCAGAAAATTAAAAATAGACCTACCCTATGACCCAGCAATAGCACTGCTAGGAATTTACCCAAGGGATACAGGAGTACTGATGCATAGGGGCACTTGTACCCCAATGTTTATAGCAGCACTCTCAACAATAGCCAAATTGTGGAAAAAGCCAAAATGTCTATTAAGTGATGAATGGATAAAGAAATTGTGGTTTATATACACAATGGAATACGACGTGCAATGAGAAAGAATGAAATCTGGCCATTTGTAGCAATGTGGATGGAACTGGAGAGTGTTATGTTAAGTGAAATAAGTCATACAAAGAAAGACAGATACCATATGTTTTCACTCTCTTGTGGATGTTAAGAAACTTAACATAAGACCATGGGGGAGGGGAAGGGTGAAAAAAGTTACAGATAGGGAAGGGTGCAAACCATAAGAGACTCTTAAAACTGAGAATAAACTGAGGGTTGATGGGGGCTTGGAGGGAAGGGAAAGTGTGTGATAGGTATTGAGGACAGCACCTGTTGGGATGAGTACTGAGTGCTGTATGGAAACCAATTTGACAATAAATTTCATATTAAAAAAAGAAAAAGAAAAAAGTGGATACTATGGAGATATACATGTATCTCAGTGGATCAAAACCTAGATTGGCATCATATCTATCTGCATTCCAGATAAATACTTTGCTGGAGTAACTTGTTAAGCTTTCATTTGAAATGCCCATATTAGGATATATTTTAAAAACCTCTTTTCATAATTGAGGGGAATATTTCTTCTCCATGGCAGCAACTCAGTTTTTCAAACATAACTATTAAATGGTGAGTTACTTAAACATGGATAACAAAGTGAATATGTAATAAAAAGAGAGTCAGATGTCTCTGATCAGGCATAATAAAAGGGCTTAAAGTAAAATCTCCAAACACAGGCACAGAAAAACTTTAGGCTGACATGTAATTTAGAACATCAAATAAACAAGTCTCCGGTAAACATAATTTTTTTTACTACTATAGTAATTTATGCAAAGACAGTATAAATCTATTTTGTTCAGGAAATATGGATGCAGTATACAGTACTGGGATGTTAATTCAGTTACTATCTAATATTTATGTCAACCACATAAGCAAAAATTATTTTACCTTTATTATCCCTTTTGATGGTGGGTCCATTATCCTGATCAACAATAAGTTTTTCTCTGTTGTTGGGCATCATGACTATAAAGAAAAGACATAACTGAGTAATATTTTTGCAAAGTACCCAAAAGAAAGGCATAAAAGTATTACATAAATAGCTATTTTACTCCGATAAGTAGTAACATGAATTGTATACACCTCTACTTCTGAAACAGTGGAGAAATTTGGTCTGATGATTATATAATTTAAAAATTGATAAGCTGCTTTAATCATGTGAATTTTTAAAGTGGAATTAATATATGGCACATATATAATTGCCCACATATTTTCTTTAAATCATTTTAAATATATCCTCTTTTAAAATACATATGTAAATTAGCTATTTACCTGAATAATTAATAATATATTTCCCAAAGTATTTCTGGAAAGAGTTTATCACTTAATTTCGTGAGTTTAAAATAATTATGCATTTAACTCACCTTATAAAGTTTTTGCAAATATATACAGCAAAATTAAAGGTGAAGTCTAACTTTCTGGTAATTATTATAAATGCTCCTTCACAAAATATTTCTATTGAAAGAGAAATACATGCCAATTTTCATACTTGATCATTTAATTCATTTGTTTTATATTTTATTAAAATATCATAATGTTCTATAAATAAAATATGGTCACTATAAATGAATCATCATTAAATATTTGTATTCATTTAGAGACAATCTCACTATCATGTCTGTACAACTGGGAATGTGCTTAGATAGCCTAATTACTGCCAGTGCATAAGAAATGTTTTACGTGGTTAATATATTTTTAAGAATACTACATTGATTTGAAAATATTTGATTTTACTTCTAAGTGTAAGATATCATTCTCTTACAATGTATCTATCACAAAATATATTTCCCTATTTGCTTTGCTTTTAGACAGCACTCAATAATCTCTCTTTTTTTTCTCTCCCGCCTCTCATCAATACAAAGATTATCCTGACAGAATAATGTATGTTTTGGTTTATTGATTCATCAATGGTCTTATGGCTATATCTGCTTGCCTTGCTCAGTCTCCCTTGAATCAGTTGCACAATGTTGTAATAATCAGGTGGTCTGTGTCCAAAAGCTGTGACAAAGTAAAGCTAGAAGATCTGTCACCTCTTCCAGGAATTAAATTTACTTCCTTAGGGTCACTAGCTGCAAGTTCTAGCTCAGTGGTTCGTAACTCTGGCTGCATATTAGAATCTGATGAAGAGATACTGAAAATAAAAACAAAACGCTGCTGCCATGCTTTATTCCAGACTAGGTAAATCAGACTCTGAGCATGTAGTCTGATCATCCAGATTTGTAAATGCTCCACAGAATTTGCAATTATAATGGGGAGCCTGATTTGAGATTCATTGGACATACTATGAGCCATAAACAATGTGTAATATTGACAGGCTAAGTGAGACTTGCATGAATTTCCACAAGGGAGAAATCATATTCATCCTTCCCTAACACAAATTTGGAACCTAACACCTCCACTAATCCCTCAAATTACTCTTCTCCCCCTCACCCCCCACCAAAACATTATTTTGAAGAGGCTTAAAGCAATCACTATTACCATGTGTAAAAATTTAGAGTTTACATAATGAACATCCATATAGAGTAAGGCTAAAAGAAAAGCAGAAATAATTTTTCCTAAATGAAATGGATATTTAGGAAATTGGATTGTGTAGGTACATAAGATTAACAAATATTTTACCTAACTCAATTGGTTCATAATTATTATATACTAAAGGAGAATTTGTTACAATATGGTAACATCTGTATACCTGAGTAAAATCAGACAGCAAGGGATGATAAACAATCAAGGTAAAGCCACACAGAGAAAAATAGTGTTTGTCCCTCACATTCCCTTAGCACTTTAAGTTTCTGAAGTGTTTTTCCACATATTATTTCATTTTATCTCACAAAAATCCAGTGCCTTAGGCAAGGAAGTAATTATTTCTATATATTGGGTAAAGAAATTCATAATGGTTAAGTTACATACCCAAGTTACATTCTCATAGCTAGTCACCACTGGAATTATGGCTATATTCAAGTCTCCCATATGCCACATCACTGACAATAACACTATAGTATTTCTGGAATAGTATCTCTGGTGTAAGACTTGTGAGATGATAAAAAAATAAAGGGAAAGGCATGTTAAATACTTGTGATCTAAATTATTGAGATTGTAGCAAATTATATATTGATTCACTTTTTAATCATTCTAAATGATCAACTGTTTAAAATATATTTTATCTTTCATTATTCAAAGGATTGTGTGAATGTAGCAAGTATATTGTATCACATAAACTGTTATATACCAACATACTGAACTAGCATATACTCTACAAAAATCCCATCATATTGTTCCCTGGAATCCAGTGACACAGTAAATAAAGGCCCTTTCTGAGAAGAAACTTATAACACCTTAAGTTTCATTTTGTTGTTCATATTGCTTCAGCAATAAAAAAAAAAAAGGCCACTTCAAAAACCCATTTTTTAGGGAGGCATCAGCTCCCCAGCTTCTTTCTCCACTTTCTATTGACTAATGACGAATTTCCTGAAAGAATTTCTTTAAATTCCTTGTTTTGGGCGAGATACTTACCCGTCCTCTCTGAATGGTGATCCATCTGAGAAGGAGAACTGGACACACTGCTGCTGGGGTGGGAGGAAATTTGACTCCCTGGACAATGATTATCTTCCAGAGAGGGAACAGGAGAAGGACTCTCTGGGATCCGTTCCTGACACAAAAGGAGACACAAAAGGAAATGTCATCTGTGCACCAAGTTTTTCATGTTGGTTGAGTCCATGACATTTGAAATGTTGACCTCTCCCTTATCCCAAAAGCAGGCATGTTCATGATACCTGGCATTTAACATGTAATTTTAGACAAATACATATTTTTCTTGCAAAATTAATGAGATATGAGAATTTAATAAGAGAGGGTGAAAGCAATAAGCATGATGCTGATATATGTTAGAGGTTTAAGAAAAGTTAATTTCCATTTCCTTTCTTAAGAAATACATTAAAATTTTACCTTGATATTTCCCTATGAACCTATTCACTGTATCATTTATGTAATAGCCAAGATTGGCATTTTAATGATGATTTTATTAATATAATGGTATGTCAGAATAAAATATGTAATAATGAAAAAAAGAAATACATTCTATATTATGAACATAGGTGTGCAGTGAAGAATATTATCATTGTAAACGTTTATATTTATATAAAGTATATACCAAGCATGGAGGGTGATCCCCCTCTCTAAGATATCCCTAAGGTAAACACTTGAAAACCTAGGAATAAAAATCACAAATAGTAGCATCTGGTACACATTGAGTCTTTCCGCACAAATAAAAATTACAGAAACAGTATACACCTCCTCTATCAGACCTTAGAAATTTATTTTGAATTCTCCCAGCAAAATGGTTTGGTAATCACAGTACACAATGATGGTTTTGCAAACTAAAACTACGACCTATGAATATCAATTGCTTAGTATTGTTTAGACATTTATAGTTTTGAATAATGAATTTGAATAAAAATAAAATATTTATTTTACATAGCTCCTCAGTAACTGTTAATAGTCCTCAAGACTTTTATGATTATGAATATTGCTATAAATCTCTGAAGTTATTCATTATGTTTATACATCACAACTTGATGAATAAATCTGACAATCATTCATTTAATTTGATCACTAAAATAACCAAATTGCTGTTTTATGCATTTATGGGACGGAGAATGTCTGTTCTATAAAATATTTAATTCATCCTTAATAAATTTCTTAATTGTTCTAATTATCTATAATTACAACATCAGTATTCAAATCATAATAATGTTAAAAATTAATTTGTCAAATATGTGCTTATACATTTTCACATTGATTTTGCCTGAGAGGTTTAAATTTATAAATTCTCCAGATAAAACTGCTGTTTGTTTAAATATAAAAGTAAATAGCATGAGAGTTAAAGCTTATTATTTCGTTAGTAGAAGTTAACATTTTGCAGTGTCTTTCATTGTGGCAGGCAGAATAATGGCCCCCTAAATATCCCCTCCACAACCTAATGACCAAGACCTGTAAATATATTACCTCACATGGTAAATGGATTTTTCAGACGTGACTGAGAATCTTGAGATAAATCACACTTGGAGGCATAAAAGGAAGGTCAAAGGCAGATATTATGGGAGAATAATCAGAGAGATGCAACATTTCTGGCTTTGAAGATGGATGAAAGGAACCATAAGCCAAGAAATGTGGGTGCATTCTAGAAGTTGGAAAAGTCAAGGAAACAGATTCTTCCCTGGAAGCTACAGAAAGAAATGCAGACCTGCCAACACCTTGATTTTAGCTTAGTGATATCCATGTTAGATATCTGACCTATAGAACTACAAGAAAATTAATTTGCATTGTTTCAAGCCACAAAATTTGTCATATTTTGTTACAGCAGCAATGAAACACTAATATGGTCATCAATGTAGTAGGTTCACTTTTTACATGGTGTTTTATATTATTGTCTAGCAAATAATTAACATTTGATAATTTTAGTAAAATGAATAGTAGACTTTGAGTATATTAGCTGCAGTACTATATCTTAATTAAATACTGATAATTATAATTGTTATCAGACCTCAAAAACAATGTTTTAAGACAGAATTATACATTTCATTTATAATTACTATACAGATAACTACCTAGTTGTAACACTATATATACAGGACAAAATAGAAAGAAACATATAAACAAAGCAGGATAAAATAATCAACTTTTTCCCCCAAATAATTATACTTATATTCTGCAGTAATGGTATGAGGATAAGCAGCAAGATATATATAGCCCTTGTACCACATTGTTTTATTTTCTGAAAAGACTAGCAGTTCATTAGTTGTGAAATTCAAACTAAACTGTCATGATTAAAAGCATATTCTTTGAATACTATATGTACACAGACACACACCAATGCAAGGTTGTTTTTTTTTTAATGTTTATTCATTTTTTGAGAGAGAGAAAGAGAGAGAGAGAGAGAGAGAGTGAGAGACAGAGCAAAAGTGGGAGAGGGGCAAAGAGAGAGGGAAACACAGAACCTGAAGCAGGCTCCAGGCTCTGAGCTGTTAGCACAGAGTCTGACACAGAGCTTAAACTCATGAACCATGAGATCATGACCTGAAGTCGGACACTTAACTGATTGAGCCACCCAGATGCTCCACCAATGCAAGGGTTTTTATATATAAGGTCAAAATTATTTCTCTGCCTTTTACTGTTGTATAGCCCCAATGATTCTTTCTCAAAATATATGTATAAAATGTAGAACATTCAGTATTTGTCTTTGATTGTAACATTGGAAATTTGCTAAAAAATATATGTAATTCAATGAACTACATTTAAGTTTCATGGGCATCTGAATGAATGGATAGGAACAAATTACAGCATTTATATGGGGCAAAAATGGAACTGAACAAACAAAATCACTCTATGGTGGCAAACAGGAATCATACACACAGTAATATATGCTGCCATAATAAAAATAGAAAAAAATTAAGTGATTCATAAAATCGATGGTTTGGAGAAGCAAGAGAATCCAACTCACAGTGGTACTTGCTCTTGTCCACTCTGCCTAATAGAAAATGAAAGCTTACTTTGATTAAAAAAAAATTGAAAGGGCATCTACATGAATATAAAATGCTATGAAAATGAGAAAAAATACAATCCTATAAAGGTGTACCCCCCAAATGTTTATTTTTTTAATTAATTTATTATTGAGACAGAGAGAGAGAGAGCAGAAGCATAGGTGGGGCAGGGTCAGAGAGAGTGGGGGAGAGAGAGAGAGAATCCCAAGCAGCTCTGCACTGTCAGCATGGAGACTGATGTGGGGCTGGAGCTCACAAACTATGAGATTGAGAGTCCTGACGTTTAACCTACTGAGCCACCCAGATGCCTCCCCCACAAATGTTTAAAATTAGCAAATGATCAAATAATATGAACTCAAGTAACTTTCTATTCAACTCCTTCTTTGACATTTTCAACATCATATTAGGTAAAACAATAAACTAACTTTGAAAACTTGATTTAGAGTGACTAACATTTTGCATGAAGTTTTATTTCTGCTTTAAGATTTTATAGTCTGCACTTTCCAAATTCAGTCAACGTTCAGTTCATTGTTATTGTTTCCCTAAGGTATTGCAGAGATCAGACTTTTTTTTCACCATATAAACTGTATTAGATAAGTTTAGTGCCTTATATTGATTAAGAGTTAGGTGGGGTTAAAATGTGTGTGTGTGTGTGTGTGTGTGTGTGTGTGTGTGTGTGTAGCTGGGAATGTTTAATTTCTCTTAAAATAATTAATAGTTCTATGAACAATTTCTTTTCTGCAAGTAAACAGATCCATTTTTCATTCCTGTAATCAGTATGCATCTATTTAGCTACTTAACTGCAATGTGCTTTGGCTCATTAGGTGGCTACTGTTGTGTCTCAGCCTAGTTAAAAGTTCACAGCAAGTTAATCTGTTTTATTACAAATGAGAACACAAGTGATAATGTCCTCATCATTTGCCAAATACAGGGTTAACAGTGTTTGCAACAAATAAATAAGGACATTTAAAAGGAAAATTGCATCTCCAAAATCCCAATCCTTTTTAGTCATTGATGACTTAATTTTATTTGCATTTATGACTTTTACAAGCCTGTTACTCCACGTATTTCATTTGGGCCCTTCATGTATTTCATTTGTTTTCATTTGGAAAACAGCTGTAGCTCTTCTGAAACACTACAAGTCTTCTCCAGATTCAAAGTAGCAGAGGAGAGACATTTCCAAAATTGATACATACTTACCCAATCAATTCCCCAAATCAAAGGCTATTAGTAAAATCATCTGCAATAATAATTCAGATTCTAGCATATATGTGCATAGTTCAAAGATTATTCCTAAAAATTAAAAAAAATATAGAAAATGCTATTTACTAGTACATATTATACCCTCTTACATCATACTCTTCCCGTTTTGGGGTGGTTTATATCACAAATGGTCAAAGGAGATGTTCTTCATATTGAATCATTTGAAAGTATAAAAAGCAGGGTCAATATTCAGTTTTATACAAGGTGTAACACTAAGTTTGGTTTAGGATGTAGTTTATTGGCACTAAATTATCAACTCTGCTCATTTTCATGTAGATCCTTTATTTCACCTCAATATTCCTTTACATCCTTGGAAATATGGTAGTATACACAGAATGTATGAAGTATTAATACATTAATGTTAAATATGTCTTTATATGTATGTGTACATGTGTGTAGTTGTCTTTTAATAACAACTGTATTGGGGGTGCCTGACTGGCTCAGTCAGGAGAGCATGCGACTTTTGATCTCAGGGTCATAAGTTCAAGCCCCCACGTTGGGCATGGAGCCTACATATCAATCAGTGTTAAATTGTTGCTTGTTAAGTTTGTTTGCTTGTTGTGCAAATTAAATGGGTACTGGTTGTTTATATCACATTTAGTTTGTGAGTACTGGAAGATAGAGATTAATTATATCTTCTTTATCTCTTTCCCATATTGTTCATTACAGCATGCATTTATCAAAGATATGACATTTGTTGAATATAAAAAGGAATAAAGGGATAAATCGATGGGTTGCTCTTACTAACTATACTCTTTTGATCCTATATACACTTATATTATCTCTTTGCCAAAATAAAATACATATTGGCTTTTTAAGCAAAGTGCACATGATACTGGGAGAGAGGGCAAAGAGATCCTACGCCAAACTAATAGAAGACATCAGGACAGATTATAAAATACTGTTTGTGTTTCAATAGCCAATGGTCATGAGATTTTGAAAAAAATAGTATTCTAATGATGATAATGATAATACTATAAATTATAATAAGTATTTGTTTAATGTTTCACAGTTTTGAATTTTTTTAAAGTTTATTTGTTTTTGTGAGACAGAGCACGAACAGGGGAGGGGCAGAGAGAGGGAGACACAGAATCTGAAGCAGGCTCCAGGCTCTGAGCTGTCAACACAGAGCTTGATATGGGGCTTGAACCCAAAAACCATGAGATCATGACCTGAGCTGAAGGTGGATGCTTAACCAACTGAGCCACCCAGGTACCCCAGTGTTTCATAGCTTTTAACCTCTATTTTACTCACATTATCTCTGGACAACCAATGAAGTAACTGGGATAGATTATTACTATGACATATCGTTTACAATTGAGGAAACAAGTTCATGCTTGTTATGACAAGGTTAAATATCATATCCAATGTTATTCAGCTAAGTAGCAGGATAAGAATTGAACCTAAAATCTTTCTTTTTACAAGTCCTGTATGGTATATACTACTCAACAATTGCCTTCCAGACACCAAAAAGGTGTACAGTGTTTATTTCACCCAGCAAAGTACTGTATTTTGCCATTACCCTTTCTATGCCTCTCACACACTGTGCTCATGACTGCAAGACATGAAGCTAGAATTGAAGGTGAGATATGTGGTCATTGAATAAAAACAAACAAACACAAACTACCTTAGCAGGAATAGTCATAAATAAAATTCATCAATATTATCTATATGCTAAGCAACTGAGTCAATGAGCCGTATGTTTATACTGAAGTTGCAGTGGTAATGTTAATATTTTCTCAAAATTTACATGTAATTAAAATCTTTGTCCTCTTCCAAATCATAATTCTTACCTTTATAACAGAGGTCCCAGCTCTGGAGAGTGGACTGTGAATCTGGGCTGCAGCAGCCATGTTGGCAATAGTATTGAGATGGTTCATCTGATTCATTGCCATGGCAACTGATGCAGGAGGTAAGCTGACTGGAAGTAGGGGATGTGGCATCATCATAAATGGCAGATCCAGTCCTAAAAGAGACAGTGTATGTTAAATTATTATATTTGTCACATTGGACAAAGGAAAATCACATCAAAATTGATACTATAGAAGTAATAAAAAATGTATCTGAATTCACTCTTTCTTTTAAAGTAAGTTTTATTATACCCTAGTATCTCTTTGGGCAATTAATGGTATCTAGGATTTAATATTGCTTTATAATTTAAAAAATATTCTTATATCCATAAGCTTTTATTTATCAATATTCTTTGTTCTTGTTCTCACTCCTAAAGTATTTATAAGATGAAATTTGTTTTACTCATGAAACCAAAATCTTTAAGCCAAACATCATTTTTTTAACAAGAAGTAACTTTCTTTTTGATCATTACAATATATTGATGTGTTACCAGCTTCTAACTTAACACATTTTTAGAATATATAATAGTGATGCTGGCATGACAGGATGTAGATTGTCTAGGTTTCAGAATTATTGAAGAAAATAAGACTTGGAATATGGTCTACACTTTTAGTCATATATCTCTAAAATGAATGCTCTGGCTCTAATTTGAAGATTCTGTCAATAAGGAGTAATGCCCTATCAAAATATTCAACGTATTTTCAGTTTAATAACAAATACCAACATCATTGATTAATGTCTGGAATTCTGTTTTCTTATGCAAGGTGAAATAGTTTTCACGTATTTTAAATTTCTCAATTAATATCTTTCAAGTATTATCCACATTATACTTATGGTAGCCACAGATATGTCAACATGAAAAGGGTAACAAATTGAATTTTTTTTCTACTTACCCTTTATGAGCTTGAGATTTGTGAGGAAACATGTTTGAACAGAGGCTAGGGAAATTTAGCCTAACATTATGGATGTTAACATCACTATGATAAGTAAACCATAACACTTTACAATATATTTTAAACTATTGCTTCAACAGTAATCTTGCCTTCATTTGGACAGAAACCGAGAAACAAGTAATCTTTAACAGATGTTCTAAAATACCCTTGCCTATAATTTTCCTAAATTATTGCAGATTATAGAAATCTACACTGGGCAGTGCTTATGTTGATCCCAAATGCAATTATCCACTATTAATAATATCCCTTGATCCTTTTTGCCATTCCCTCATTTTTTCTTGCTTTGAAAATCACAAAAACTAGTGAACAACGATGAATCTATAGAAAGTATAATTAGAATCCTCCTAAATATAATTCCTGAAAACAACAGTAACAGTAATAAAAATTGTCAAAACACATACATTTAAGAGAAAAAGCAGGCTAGACAAAAATTCTGTTAATTGATTCAAGGTTTGTCTCTTGGGCTCAACAATGATGGTTGAATAAAACCAGAAAAAATTCAAAGTTGTGCAATGTAGTAAAACACATTTAACAGGTCTCATAAAAAACTAAAGTGATCATCTCAATTAAAGGAACTCCTATATAAAGAACACAATAGTCACTAATATTTGTGATCAAAACAGCCATAAATATACTGTTATTAATAATACACAAGGATTTAAAAATGTTAGAAACTTAAATTCTGCATGGAAACCAAGGAGAACATACTCTATACTTTCCATGACTGCATATCCCCACAGAATATTAACAAAATATTTTAAACTTTCCCCCTATTAATTCATTTATGGCTCACTATCTCCAAATCCTTTTAAGAAGCAATCTACCAAACCAAACTTTTTAGTTATGAAAATTTACCCTGTGATTATTAATTTCCTAGAGAAGCCTCAATAAAGCGTAAGCACAGATTTAAAAAATGGTCTTCCAGGACACCTGGGTGGCTCAGTCGGTTAAGTGGCCAACTTCGGCTCAGGTCATGATCTCTCTGTCCGTGAGTTCGAGCCCCGTGTCGGGCTCTGTGCTGACAACTCAGAGCCTGGAGCCTTTTTCAGATTCTGTGCCTCCCTCTCTCTGACCCTCCCCCATTCATGCTCTGTCTCTCTCTGTCTCAAAAATAAATAAACATTAAAAAATTTAAATAAAATAAATAAATAAAATTAAAAATGGCCTTCCAAAATTACTTTGATATATATGCATTTTTATATTATACTCATCATATGACTTTGCTATAATAAGATATTGTATACCACATATTAATTTAATCACTGTTTATCTTTTCCCTGAAATCTTCACTTTATGCTTAACATAATAGTAACCATCAACGGTGCAAATAGGTTTCTATATAAGGCTCTCATTTACCAAACATAATTATAGACTTCAATTCTTCTTTGTGTACTCAGAGTCTTAGCAGAAAATTGATAAAACTGTATATGAAAAGTAGCCATCAGTGCCTCCCTTTACCACTCATATGTTTAAGTAAGCCTTTGTTCAATTTACATTTTTCTTAACAATGTAATAATTCCTCACTCTCCAAAGATTTTCAGCATCTTTCAGACACCATCTGGCCATATCAAGTCATATGCCTACTTAAAGTCCAAATGACTTGCAAACTAAATGCAAACTATAAACAGAATTTAACATCCTATTGGCAGTTTTAAAATACAATTAATCCAACATTTCAAATGACCATGTAGGACTTAAATGTTACACTTTTAGATCATGACCTGCAATAACTGTTAATTGACTATAATATCCTAGACTCTAAGCTAATATTTACATCACTGGCCAGTTTAACAGTGACTCCACATGAGTTGCACATGCAAAGCATATGCAAATATGAACTATGTAAGTCAACCTTTTACCAAAGTTGAAAACATTAAATTAAGAGCCATCAAAAGTACATCACACTCCAGCAATCTGGCTCATTTTAGTCACATACCAGAAATGTATAGACTTTGAATAGCATGGTAATTAAAATAATTTTTTTAATCACCAAAATGAGTCATCTCTTTCCTATTAACCTCAAGGTTATCATGCCAGCTACTATAAGCATTATTTGTAAAGCATCTTGGTATTCCAGCAAATCTTACAACTTTTATGTAAGTAAATAGCATCACCTCTTTCTAGCTATTAAGACTATAAACTTCAGTAAAACACTAATACTCCTAAAATCCCACACTCATTTGACATCCAAGTCATGTTGACCTCTGTAATATCTTCACATTTCTACAGTCAGCTACCAATCCTATCATAACCGTTTGGTACCCTGGCTTTCTGATTGGTTTTTCAACACCATTTCATTTGCCTCTCCACTCCAATTTTAAGACGTTCAGTGGCTACTTACTGTTTCCAAAATAAAGTATAAGCTCTTTGGTTTGTTGTGAACTGAATTTTTTAGCTTTGATATATCTTTCCCTAAATGACACATAGGTGCAATCATACACTATTTTGTGTTTTCAGACTGGCGTTTTTTTCACTTATAAATATTCATTCACATTTCTTCAAAATTTTATTTTTATTTTTTTCTACAAGTGTAGTTGACAATCCATGTTACATGTTCACAAGTTTATACATTATGCTATGTTCACTGCAAGTGTAGCTACTGTCACCATGCAACACTATTACAATATCATGGACCACATTCCTTATGCTGTACCTTTTATTCCTGTGATTTATTCATTACGTAATTGGAAGGCTGTATATCCCACTCCCCCTCACCTATTTTGCCCATTTCCCTCACATGGAAACCATCAGCTTGTTCATTAGTAACAAGCCTGATTCTGCTTTCCATTGGATTATTTCTCTTTTTTAAGATCCACAAATGAGTGAAATCGTATGGTATTTATCTTTCTCTGACTTATTTCACTTAACATAATACCCTTTAGGTACATCCATGCTTTACAAATGGCAAGATCTCATCCTTTTTTATGGCTTAAAAATATTATATTATGTATGTATACACACTGCATCTTCTGCATCCAACTGTCTATCAATGGATGCATTTTGCTTTCATTATTTAGGCTATAATAAATAATGCTTCAATAAATATAGTGGTGAATATAAATTTACACTTAATGTTTTGATTTTTTTGGGTAAAAATCCAGTAGAGGGATTATTGGATATGATCTTTATGGTTTAAATTTTTTGAGGAACCTCCATACTGCTTTATGAATTAGTACACAGATTTACATTTCCACCAGGAGTACACAAGGGTTCCATTTTCTCCATATCCTCACCAAACTTGTCTTTTGATACTGACCATTCTGGCATGTGTAGGGTGATATCTGTTTGTAGTTTTAATCTGCATTTCTCTGAATATTAGTGATGTTGAGCATCTTTTCATGTGTATATTGGCCACTGTAAATGCCTTTGGGAAAATGTCTATTCAGGTTCTCTGCCCATTTTATAATCATATTGTTTGCTTGCCTGTTTTTTGGTGTTGAATCATGCAACTTCATTTTGTTTTGGTTTTAATTTAAAAATCTAGTTAGTTAACATACAGCATAATATTACTTTAAGGTGTGCGATATAGTGATTCAGCACTTCCATATATCACCTGGTGCTCATCACAACAACTGTATTCCTTAATCCCCATCACCCATTTAACCCTTCCTGCCACCAAACTCCCTTCTGGCAACCATCAGTTTGTTTTCTAGAGTTATGAATCTGTTTCTTGATTTGCCACACTCTCTCTCTTTTTATCCTCTTTGTTCATTTGTTTCTTAAATTCCACATATGAGTGAAATAATGTAGTATTTGTCTTTCCCTGACTGACTACCTTACTTAGCATAATACTGTACAGTTACATGCATGTGGTTGCAAATGGCAAGATTTCATTATTTTTTTATGACTGAGTAGTATTCCATTCATCTTTTTCAATTCATCAGTTGATGGACATTTGGGCTGCTTCCATAATTTGGCTATTGTAGATAATGCTGCTACACACATCGTGCATGTATCCATTTGAATTAGTATTTTTGTATTCTTTGGGTAAATACCTAGTAGTGCAGTTGCTGGATCCTATTTTTAACCTTTTGATGCACCCCTGTACTGTTAACCAGAGTGGCTGCATGAATTTACATTTCCCACCAACACTGCAAGAGGGTTCCCATTTCTCCACATCCTCACTAACAACTGTTGTTTCTTGTGTTGTTTTTTAGCCATT